AGGGTTCAAATCCTCACTCAGCCATGGAAACTCACTGGATGATGTTGGACAAGTCACAAGTCACAATCTATCAGCCTTTTTCAGGCAAACGCAAATCCCCTCTGAACAAATCTTGCCAAGAAAATCCCATGATAGGTTCACCTTAGAGTCAGCATATTTTAAGGCAGTTAACAACCATTAAACTAAAAAAGGAGTTGCTAAGTAGATGGTACCTTTCATCACTTGACTCCAGCATAATCCACTATTGGCCTCTACTTTGAAAAATAATGTGTGTTTTTCAGCTACCTCAGCACATGCTCCAACATGGGATGCAGCTCTCTTGTAACATTTTCATTTGTTTATATCAAATCGACTTATAGATGCATACATCTCCATTTGGCTTACCGAATCTTTTTCAGCTTGGTGCTTATCATGGAAATTGCCATTTCTCATAAAACCAAAACCTGGAAAAGTGTGTGTGTGTGTGAGAGAGAGAGAGAGAGAGATTAAATGATTTCTTTATTAATTCATTCATTTGCAACATATTTATAAACTGTTTCAAAGAGGAATGCAGCAGATTAAAAATACTGGTTTTAAAATATCTATAGCTATTGATAAATGAAAGATATAATACCAATATCTTTATGTGTTTTCATCTTTTTTCACATTTCCTAACAAAAGATAATACACTTCCTCAGATGAAATGTTCTCTTTTCCACCTTGTAAATTCACATCACATTCCATATTAATATAGATAAACTGCTAGGTTTCAGCTCATTTGACCTGTACTGATCAATTCCCAACAATACAGAATTGATAATGGATTATAAGAATGCCCTTTTAATTCAGATATAATATTTTCCCTGAAATTGCAGAACTAATTATGCTTCCTCACACAACCAAGAAGGAAATTTAGTGAAGCCTACTTCCAGATTAGGATGCACAGAATTTCAGCCAAAGACTGTTGGGTCCAGATTTAGGTATTCTTAAACAAACCCACTAAATTCAATAGGACTTAAATTAGTCATTATTCTATGTCTAGGTTTGCCTTCTATCCGGTATTAATTAATAATTATTTGAAGCATTGTATATTTAATAATATATTTTACATGTCTGCAGAAAAAAATAATCTTAAAACAAGGTTGAAGCTTTAGTTTTATACTCATTTGCCTAGGATTAAGTCAATGGGATATTAACTCAGTGGGACATTGCTGGATAGACATCCCTATGATTTCATTGTTCACTGCCAAAATGGATTCCATCATGTCCAGCTCAAGTTGTATTAGTAAGGTACTGATTATTTCAAGATAGTAGTAACAAAATTTCTGTGTTGTGAAACTCAAACTAACAGAAACAGTGAGCAAACTACCAGGGACTGAGAGGCCACATTATCCCCTGTCATCACCATTCCCATCCTAGGGAGGGGGGACAGCAAAAAATGCAAGAATATGTTGGCCCTAAATGCCTTTCAACACCACTGGGGTACAGATAGAATTTTTTTACGTTCCTCCTCCCAGGCCATTTTATATACCAAGAGAAGTCTTTCTTTTATTTTTTTAAAGAAGTGATTTGGAAGTCAACTTCCAGGTGTTTGTTAAATTACCTAAAATTACCAGAAGATGGGGAAAAGTGGCAGGATTACACCACACAACACTTAAGGGCATGATAAATTTATTTATGAAGGGAAATGGGGTGCAGAAGGGGGTTCAAAAACAGTCCAGTGGGCCACATGTGTCCAACCCACCTTGTAGAAATCACATAATACTTTTTAATCCTTTCATAATACTTTTTTAAAGCTAATAAGATAAACTTTTCTGTGTTCTTGTTCTTCAGCAACTGAAAGTTAGAAGAGATCCAGGAGTTGTATTTATTTTGAGTCCCTCTTGAATTGGTAGTGATAAAATATTTGAGATACAGTCAGTATTATGAATGGCATTTTGACATTTACAAGTGTTGGTGTTTTCTTAGTGCATTATTTGACATAGGTTAGACTGAAAAGTCAATGTTAGTGCATTATTTGACATAGGTTAGACTGAAAAGTCAATGTTTATAATTTTGTTGTATGTTGTCCCATCCTATGTTCCTGTGAAGTTAGATTTGGCAGCTGGAAGTTAAAATACTGTTGCTGATTCTGTTTGTTTCTTTGTTTGTTCTTTCCAACTTTAGGCAATGTTGGGACGTAGCAATGGAGAGTCATCATCACGAAAGAAGGAGGAGGAAGAAGTTCAGAGCAGACACAGATGGATCCCCTTTGGACGCAAGATCTATGAATTCTACAATGCCCCAATAGTTAAATTTTGGTTCTATACTGTAAGAAGCGACTATCATTTTGTCATCTGTCCCTTATAACACAAATCTGTGAATCCTCCTTTTATCAGTATGTTTGCATTGCCTAGATAATACTATAAAACTATATAAGGGTTGCAGGAAGATAAGTACTTGAGTCTACTGATATGTCATGGAATCATAGCCCCATCAGAGAGGGACATTTTAAATAAATACACTTAAAATAAATATTCTCTAAATAAAATTTAAATAAATATTCTTACAAACTTAATGGGACTAAATAAAAGAGGGGTTCTCACTCTCCCCCCTCCCCCCATGCAGACAGTTGGAATAGTCCAGCTAATGGTCTTTGGTTTTCCAATAATTTTATACCAAATTTTGAAACATTAATAAGTTAGATTTGAGTAAATCTAATTGGTGACAGTTAAATGCACTTTGATACCATCTCACAAAACTGGGCACTTTCTTACTTCACCTTGTAGACAGGGTCCACATTACTGAAGTAAATGTTGAAGGGTAGATGTTATTTTGTGATATGCTTTGTAAATGTTACATACATGAATAATTGCTAGATTAGAATGTTTTTTTAAAAAAACTATAAACAGAAAATTGTGACTGGAGTAAATAGTATGCGTGTCCTAAATATTTATACATTGTTTTTAAAAACAGATGGCATATGTTGGATACCTGATGTTGTTCAATTATATTGTGTTGGTGAAGATGGAACGCTGGCCTTCCATGCAGGAATGGATAGTTATCTCATATATTTTTACAATGGGAATAGAGAAGATGAGAGAGGTAATATTGTCTTGAATGATCTGGAAGGAAAATTGCTTTAGTAGTACTGTTTGCCGCTTAAGTTCAATATGTTGTTGAAAATATTATGAACAATAGCTTGAATTCTGAGTCCCCTTCCACTGCTGTCCCTACAACAGAAAGGGATTTTTGTTTCCTTTTGTCCTTAGGCACCTTACACCCCCAGAAAATAAAGGACCCTCTGAAAAAGGTGAGCTACGGTGTACAGTTTGAGGGCTCCAGGAGGTCTCCATAGGGTCACCATACATTGGGTCATCATACATTGAAGCAAACCTTATGGCAAAAAAAGCAAGAAAAGAAAGGGGGAAATGGGTTAAAATTGCTTCTTTTATTTATAAGAACCTGTGCCAGAATAAAAGCTTTTCTGGTTGTGGAAAGGACACTTACCATATTATTCAAGCCAATGTCTTTTTCTCTTTTTTATATATGAAACAACTCTATAACATTTTAAGGATGCATTTTCATACTCTTCTTAATACATATATATTTATTTCACTGGGCAAATGATATCTTTGGAGGGGAAATTTAATCAGGAAAATGGCTAAGGTTTGGGGCTTGATGCTTCCTGATACTGCGTCCTGCATAAATACGTTACTGCTAAACATAGGAATTCCTTAGCACAGGCTCTGTTGCCTCACAAGGCTAGCTATGTCAGGAGATCACAGATATTACTGGACAAGCCCAATTCGTACTGGCTTTCAACTGCAAATTCACATTTCTGTCATGCATGGTATTTGATGACATAACAGCAAATCAGTCCGGATGAAAGAGAAAGACCACCTTCCCGACGGAGAGTCTCAATCAAGAAAGCCATGGCTCTGAGATTACACGACCTGAGTAGGGCTGTTTATGACAGTGTGACTTGGAGGTCTTTCATTTCTAGGGCCACCACAAGTCTAAGTGAGCTTGACAGCAGTTAACAACAATGACACATACAGGTATGTGCAAGATCCTTGAGGAACTTGAGGAACTTACATATGTTAAGCATATGAATCAGGGACAGACAACTGCTGAGGATCAGAGGATTGCATTCTGCCACTGGAGGGCCTTGCCACCCCTGGACTTTTTCATCCAATCTTTTCATAATATTATGCTCCCCATCCTGCTTATTGTTTTAGGCCCAGGTGAAATTGTTTTTTAACAAGGAAATAAATTAGAACTGGAGGGGGGGAGTTGAGTAAAAAAAAATCTATGCAGTTCTGTTTGGAGGAAATGTGGGGGATCTGAAGGCCTGGAAAATAGTTTTGGGGTGCTTTGCAGGCCATGGGCTGCCCTTTCCCATCCCTGATGTAAATGCATTCTTAGATCTTCTACCTGTAGAAGATACTGGATTAACAATAACATTTCAGTCTTACAGCATTAATCAAAAATAAATACTCTTTCCAGAAGTCTTCACTGTATTTTATTTGTAATTGCTCAAATCATTCTATAATCATACTTAATCAAAATGATGTGAAGATTGCAATGAACACTGAAGGAAATTATTCACTACAGCCACAGGAGGGCTCTTTAGTATCAATAAAGATGCCTATGAATGTAAGAGAATTAGTTCATTTTTTAGTGTGATATAAATGCTGCTTTTTCCCCAAACAACTTTTGTTTGATTTATTATTTCTTTATGTTTTACTGCATGCCACCTGAAAATAATTTCAAATTGCCAGTACCTACCTAAAAATATTCACAGAGAATAAATCCAAAATCCATAGTGTAGTGTGGAATCAAAATGAAGACATGTAATATGGATCCAGCAAAAAGGATCCGTATTAAAAGGCTTACAAGCAATATGTTATAAGTAGCGGGTTGTTGTTGTTGTGTACCTTCAACTAATTTATGAATTATGGTGACCCTAAGGTGACCTATCACAAGGTTTTCTGGAGCTAAGAGTGTGTGACTCACCCAAGTTCATCCGGGGGTTTCCATGACTGAGCGGGGATTTGAACCCTGATCTCCAGGGTTGTAATCCAGTGCTCAAACCATTGCACCACGCTGGCTTTCCAGTGATGGATACCCACCATTTAAAAAAAGGCAGACTTTTTAACATAATAATTGTGACAATGTGGTTTTATATGGGTTATATGGTGTGTGTTTTAGCTGTGTTTCAATTTTTGGTATGTTTTAAATGTTAGTTTTATATTGTTTTAATTAGATGATTTTACTTGTTTTAAAATTTTACTGTAAAGTTTTAAGAAATAAACTATGCAGAACATCCTTGCCACTATGAACATGGTCATGCCACATTATGGCTCAGTCTTACCATAAATACATCCAAAACTCTAGACTTTGGCCATAGGGCAGATCTGGACAGAATAAGTTTGCAAGGTGTCCTGTGAGACTTTATTTCTGAGAGAGAGATCTCATGACAGATAATGTCTCAGAGATTGTCTGTGATCATTGTGATTATGTAATAGCTGTCACAGGCTTACAAGAAATAGGATAAGAACTGTCTTAACCACTAATCCATATAGCCCAGTATTGTAGACACTGACTAGCAGCAGGGTTTCAGGGTTTATTCTCTAGCCCTCTCTAGACATGTGAAGAATTGAACAAGGGTCTTCTGCTACCAAAGCCTGTGCTCTTACTACTGTGCTGTTGCTGTTCCCATTGTCACAATTGGTTCAGGGATCCTGTGGCCTGAATAGTAGGAGGTGGAGGAGTTGCAAGTGACCAGCTGGTTCCTCTATAATGCAGAAGCCTGCAACCATTTACAGGTTGATACCATTCTAAACTTCATGCCTTGGCCCTTCCTGTTCTGTCACACTGTACAGGATATAGCTTGCAGAGCCAGGTAAGGCCAAGACTCACAAGTCTAGTGTTGCCAGAGTGAAAACTGGGTCAGCTCCTGTACCTTTAATGGTTGTGTAGAAGAGGGAATTTCAGCAGGTGCTGCTTGTCGTTCAGTCAGTTTAACAAATTCCCTCTTCTATACAACCATTAAAGGTACAAGAGCTGCCCCAGTTGGCAGTTCTATACATGTCTTGCCTTAAGGTGTCACAGAACTCCACATACAATTATGTATTTCTGATTCCTAGTTCATATGTTTAATTGCTGGATCATGCCTAATCTGAAAGGAATTTATCAGTTTGGTTTTTTTACCTGTCTTGTATATGCTTTCCTCCAGCTATGGTTAATATGTTTTTCTCCCTCTATGGTGAATCCTTCTTTCATGTTCCCTAGATATTAATGTCAGAACCTGGGAAGCTGCTGCAGAAAGTGAAAGTATGGCTTCAGGAGTACTGGAATGTTACCGATCTCATTGCTATTCTCCTGTTTTCTGTGGGTATGGTACTTCGACTCCAGGATCTGCCACTCAGGAGTGATGGTCGTGTTATATACTGTGTCAACATCATTTACTGGTATATCCGATTGCTAGACATCTTCGGTGTGAACAAATATTTGGGGCCATATGTAATGATGATTGGGAAAATGGTAAGAAAGAGTTTCCCATCTTTCCTTTCTGTATTGCATGCTATAACTGAAACAATGTTCTATTCTATTGAATAGAAAGTGATACTTGTTTCTTGCAGCCTCTGGATCTAACACTAAGCCTGGCTCCAGGCAAGTCAGAATCTTTGCTCTTATCCATCAGCACACATGACTTTTCTCTATCCTCCTCTGTTGCATGTGTCTTCAATTTCTCATAGCAGAACTTTATGTTTTGCCTCCAGCATCTTCGCAGAAATGTTCTAGATAGGCAGGTTTTCACTTGGCAATTTTTTGTTATTTTTTTTATTTATTTAAGCTGACGTCCTTGATGAGATCAAGAACAATACTTATTAAAGCAAAGAGTAAAAATAAGCAATAAATTTAAATTGCTATATAAAACACTACAGGCAAAAGCTGTTTGTGACACTATAGAAAGAACCCAGATAACTCTTTTGAGCTCCCTAATCACCTTGAAACATTGTGAATGAGATGGGAACAGTCACATTCTGTTTTGAGTTTGGGACTAGAAGAAAATGGCTGTCAAGAACAGAGGACTAGCCCTAAAGAGAACAGAGAAAATTTGGCAAAATCAGCTCTGCTCATTGATGTGTAGTCAGCAAGCCATTTTAGCATATTTCAAGTTGAGCCACCTCTATCAGCCTGAATTTGTGGGATGGGATGTAGAAACAATCTGCCTTCTCCTACTTGACCACTGTTATTGGGTGGCTTAGATGACAACCGAGTAACATAATATATAATACCCCCTGTTTATCCACAAATACTTGAATCTTTCATTCACATTTGTTACTACATGTCTTCATGCATGTCCTCTTCCATATCCTTATGCATTAACATACGTAATGTTCATTTGTACAGAAGAAACATATGTCAGTACAATGTTTAGCCACAAAACCAGAGCCCAAGACTGGAACATCGCTCATTGGATATAGCTCATTATGAATAGTGTATTATTCATTATAGTCAGACAGAGAAATAATGGTTTAACTCTGTAGAAGGGTTTAGGGCAGGGGTAGGCAACCTTTCCCCTTTAAGGGCCGAGGGACTTCAGCTCCTAGAAGCCTCAGCCATGTTGGCCAATAGTCCCATGTTGGCCAATAGCTCCTGGGATTCTGGGAGCTGAAGTTCCTCGGCCCTTAAAGGGGAAAGGTTGCCTACCCCTGGTTTAGGGATTAAAAGAAGGAGAGATAGAGCATGGGTTAGCATGTAAGGGACTTAGATGGAGAAGGGAGAAGAAGATGCTACTCCAAATAAGGAAATAAGGATACTTATTTAAGGTGTCTAAAGTGGAATACACTTATTTCTGTATTAAGCGTAAGAGACAGTTTTAACAGCTGAAGTCTGGTAGGATCAAGGAAAGGCCATCATAAATACCATATCAGTGGGGGTTCAGTTCTGGATCCTCCCCAATGGATACCAAAAAACTTAGGTTCCATTACTGCCAATGGACTCTGATATGCACATGGCTACTTCAGCACAGCTGCATGTGTGTGCTGCTATTGACAATAATGGGACAGAGCCATACACAGACACTCCAATCCACAGATGGCTAGCCCACCAATATGGAGGGCCAATTGTATCCAAAATACACTTGGAGAGAGGTGGCTATGAGGAGCCAGGATAAATTAAGAAGAATGTATTTGAATAACTTAGTTCTTATGTTTTACATTTTCACTGATCTCACAGGACAGAGTAGACATATTTCTCTTTTTTTCTGTCTCTCTCTTCTCTTCTTTTCTTTCAGATGATAGACATGATGTATTTTGTCATTATTATGTTGGTTGTTCTGATGAGCTTTGGTGTTGCAAGGCAGGCAATACTCTTCCCCAATGAAGAACCTTCATGGAAACTAGCAAAAAATATTTTTTACATGCCGTATTGGATGATCTATGGGGAAGTGTTTGCAGACCAGATAGACCGTAAGCACGTTTATGATTCTCATACTCCAAAGTCAGGTATCAAACTTTGATCAGGTGATGTCTTAAAAGATCATTTTTGACACTTTCAATAAATGGCTCAGGATAGAGGCTCAAACATCACAGGAAAGTATAATGTTGGGTGGGAAATCTGTTAATTCCTGCCATTTAGACTGTTAATTTTAGCAGGTAATATCAACAACATTTCCTAATGAAAAGAATCATACCTTCACCACACTATTTTTTGTAGTATATATAAATCATATTAAAACTGACACATTTATTATTTCAGTTATCCAGATTATCTAAGGTATCCACATTGTGTTCAATGGCACATCAAAGATATAAGGTATATCTACACATTAAATATGTATTTGGTTTTCTTTCTCCTGTCACTTTAAGTGTCATAATGATCTCCTCAAAGATTTTTGTTTTCTGAGAGTTCTTAGAATTCTGTTGGAGAGCCCAAGCACTCCTCACAGAACTGTACTTTCCTGGAAAGACAGAGTGGCTGTTAAACTAATTTCACCCTCTAGTGTAGATTATACCAGTGCTTC